CTCGGCCGACAGCTCGGGCGCCGCGCCGCCGGCGCTCGGGAGGCGGGCGGGCCGCCCGGCGGCCCGCGGGGCGCGGCGCGCGCGGCCCGGCGGCAGGGAGGGCTCGGAGCTCTCGAGGGCCTGCGCGGGCGGCAAGCCCCCAGGGGAGGCGACGACGACGACGACGACGACGACGACGACGACGACGACGACGACGACGACGACGACGACGACGACGACGTTTGCCCGCATCGAGCCGCCTCGCCGATGCATCGGCGAGCCTCTGGGGGGAGCCGAGGCTCCGGGGGGAGCCCCGGAGGGCCTGCTCGGGCGGCGAGCCCCAGGGGGAGGCGAGGCCCCTTCGCTGCGCTACGCTGGGCCATAGCCTTAGAAAGCCCAGGGTTCGCCAGGGATTGGCTCCCCCCAAAAAACGAGGAGAGCCCTTCCAAAACCTTCCCGAAACTCTGCGAAAAGCCTCCCGGAACCCTTCCCGAATGGTTTTCAAAGGGTTTCGGGTGTTTTGGAAGGAAAGCAGCCCCTAGGAAACCCTGGACTTTCTAACCATACTCGCCAGTCGGAAGAAGTAGGTGGAAACATACAGAGGTAGGCGCTGCCCTACAGTCGGCCCGTATCGTTATAAGGATGCAAAGGCCATGGACGCCCAATTCGAAGCTTCTCGAGCGGGGCGCGGCCAACGAAAGTGGCGAAGGATGGACCGCGGAGGCAAGGACGCAAGGGTACCCTTGGGAAGGTTGCCCACCCTTACCATGCGGTGTGACTGCACGCTGGGCCCACACCCGACACTCGGAAGAAGCAGGTGGAGACGTAAAGCAGGCAGGCGGATAGAGTAGATTGGGTCTGGGCCCGCCCGAAGAGCACCAGGAACAACGACAGCATGCGCGCTCTTGAAGTAGGAAGGCGGTTGAGGCAGATCGGGATGTGGGGAGCCAAAAATACAGACTTTCAGCGACCGGCGTGCACGCCGAAGCGCGTGGGCGGAGACAGAAAAAGACGCTCAGTAGGGGCCCGATCACAAGAAACCTCCCACAAGAAATCCAACCCTGAGACTTGAGAGCGTCCGCAGGTCTTTGGTGTAAAAACGCCACGCTTTCCATGGCAAAACCATCGAAGCCCAAGCAACCCAGGGCACCCTGGAGGCAAGCATGGTGTTTCTTGGCCTGGGGCTCCACTGTATAGGACGCCACGGCGCGGGGCATCACGGGCAACGTGCAGCCCCCCCCCCGTACGATGAGGACGGGCGGAGAGGATGGACAGGGCCTGGGAGGGCCATATCAGCGTCTTTCGGACAAGGCTGGCCAGCGAAAGCTACCAAGGATGGGCCGGAGGGCAAGGATGCAAGGGTACCCTTTGGGAAGTTGCTCATCCTTACTGTGCGGGTTGACTATGCGCTGCGCTGGGCCGTACACCGAAGCGCGCGGGCGGAGACAGAAAGAGCAGCAGGGCGCCCAGGCACGGGGTATCACAGGCAACGTGTGTCAGTCGCCCCGCCGTTTCTCTTGAACGTGCCCAAGTGGACGACGCAGACACCACGGCAAACCAACGGCAAGCATTGCGCCACGCGCCCAAATAGACGGGGGTGGGCTTGGCACCACCTCGCCACGATGCGCGCGCATGGCTGCGACAGCACCTGCACGGCGGGGACTGCTTCTCCACTCTGCCCCCTCGGGACACGCACACAATCATGGCAGGAACTGTTTCCCTGTGCTCTGTGCTCTGTCTCACTCACGGGGGCACCTGCCGGCCCTCGGGGCCGTCACAAAAGGCGGCTCGGGACGAGGAACCGGTCCCGGGGAATGGGCCCAGACGCAACGCCACGAGAAAATCATGACGTCGGGGGACTGGGTGCATGGTTTCCCCCGTGGCCGTAGGCGACCCGAGGAGGAGGAGGAGGTGGTCGTGGAGGAGGGGGAGGGGGAGGAGGAGATGGAGGAGGAGGAGGAGGAGGAGGAGAGGAGGAGGAGGAGGAGGAGGAGGAGGAGGAGGAGGAGGGCGCGCGCGAGGGCGCCCACGCCGCCCGCGCCGCGGCCGCGATGGCCCCTCCATCGGCGCCCGCCCAGAGGCCGTGCGCAGAGGGGTTCTCGAGGGTGCTGCTCAGCGTGGACCAGTTCCGCGTGGTCTCTGCGGACCTCACCCACGGGGCGGTCTCTGGCGGCGTCTGCACCGTGGTGGCGTGCGCCCTGCTGGGAGTCCTGCTGTTCGCCGAGCTGGGGGCCTCCCTGAGAGTCAGCTACTCTACGAACGTCGTCATCGACGACGAGCTTGACGAATCGCTGAGGATCGAGTACGACACCTCGGTGTTCGACCTCCCCTGCAAGTACCGGGAAGTGGGCTCGTGGGACAAGTGCGGGAAAGACAGGTTCGTGACCAACAAGTCTTTCACCCATAGCACTCTGGACCACTGGGGGGGCACCGCGGGCGCCAAGTACACCGAGGCGGAGATCGCGGTGCTCGAGCAGGCGGACGTGGCCTCGGACATCGCGGAGGACGAGGCCAAGGAGCTCGACTCGGACTGGTCCGCCAGCAGCGACCACTTCCAGCACAAAGACTTCCAGGCGGCGGCGACCTTCCACGACTACACGCTGGTGAACTTCTACGCCGAGTGGCGCAGTCACTGCAGGCAATTTCTCCCAACATGGATAGAGGCGTCGGACAAGACCGGCGAGAAGATGCACGTCTCCGACGGCGACGGGCGGCAGTCCACGGTGAAATTCCTGAAGATGAATTGCGTGGACTTCCAGGACAACTGCAAGAAGGCCAAGACAGCAGCCTTCCCGACCCTGCGGTTTTACAAGCGCCACGGCTCCTTCGAGGTTTTCCAGCAGCATCGCTCCGTGACGAACATCGTCTGTTTCTTGACGTCGTCGATTAGAAACAGCCACTTGATCGTCGCCCGTCATCACATGATGTTCAACGAGGGATGCCGGGTGGCCGGCCAGATCCACGTGCCCCGCGCGCAGGGATCTTTCCACCTCCAGGCGGAGCCCTTCGGCAAGATGGACATGAACCCCGCCATCACGAACGTGTCGCACCAGGCGTGCGACTATTACTGCTCCGGCTCCTGCACGACGGACTGCGTGCAGCCCACGGGGACGGTAGCCCTGGCGTGCGAGTGTATGTCCTACCCCGACAGCGGCGAGCACAACATGTTCAGCGTGACGCCCTGGTCGGCGGCGGGGTACGTGAAGGTCTGGCTCGGCCTGATTGCTGCCGCCCCTGGCGGCTCTGAGGGGGCCTCCGCGCACGACGCCAATGCTCCTTTAATTTGTGTTGCAGGCCGTTTCCAACCTCCCACCTACCCGTTTGTTCGACCCCCCTCCTCCTCCCGCCCGTCGCCCCGGCCCCGGCATGAAGCAGCCCGCGCACCGTTTCCCAACTTTTTTCGCATCCTGGAGTTTTATCCAGTTGGCGGCCTTTTAATCACAAAATGTTACAACAGTTGCCAGGAGTTTTATCCGTGCAGTGTTGTGTCTACGCCCGGAGGTTTTTCCAGGCAGTTGTTTCATGTTCTGTCTCCATACCATCTGCCTCGCTCTCTGGCCCCGCGGTCCCCCCCCTCCCCCGCGAGAGGAATCACTGGCGCAAGTGAATTTGTCCTTTCGCCTACCCCCCGCAAAAGCGAGGCGGCATCGCGCTTTCGTCCGTCTTTTGCTTCTCACCCCTCCAATGCCGATCTCTTGCTCTCTCTTGCCCCCGCCCCCGTCCCCGCCCGACGACACGACGCGATCCGACGACTCGACGTTGGCCGCCAACACCGCGACGGTGAGGAGACAGAGGAGGCCAGGGTACAGGCTAAGGAGGAGGAGAAGGTCGAGGAGGGTAGTGGGGAAGTCGAGGAGGAGGTGGCGGCCGACACCAAGGAGGAGGCTGTTGAGGAGGAGGAGGCGGCGGAGGAGACCGAGGAGGTCGAGGATGAGGTCGAGGATGGAGTCGAGGAGGCGGCGCTGTTGCACACCCGTGACCCGGCCGAGATCCCCTCCAAAGAATACGGTGCGGACTACTTGTGTGAGCTCACCGGCGTGTTCCTGACCGACGGAAAGGTTCAGCTGCGCCTCAAGGTGGGCGCGAAGGATGTCGTGCCCTCGGCCCCCGCCACGGACGACAGCCACACCATAGTGATGAGCGCAAACCAGGACACCTACAGGACAGACATGAATCTCGTTTCTTGCGCTACGTGCACCGCCAATGGCCTGGCTCCCAAGGTCAAGGCTGCCGTCATCGACGCGTTCGGCATTCCGCGGGGCTTCATGACTACGATCCACGCCATGACCGCATCTCAGCCGACCGTGGACGGGGCGTCGCAGAAAGACTGTAGTGGCGGCAGCGCGGAGGTCGAGGAGGTCGGCGGGGAAGTCGAAGAAGAGGTGGCGGACGAGATCAAGGATGAGGCTGCTGAGGAGGAGGAGGAGGAGGAGGAGGAGGAGGAGGAGGAGGCGGCGGAGGAGGCTAAGGAGGTCGACGATGAGGTCGAGGAGGAGCCGCAGCGCGCCTCCTGGGGCCGTGGCGCCAGGATCGGCGCGCGCGAGAGCGCCGTGGCGGAAGAGGAGAGTGAGGAGGTCGAGGAGGATTCGGCGGATGAGGTCGAAGAAGAGGCTCAGGAGGAGGAGGAGGAGGAGGAGGAGGAGGAGGAGGAGGAGGAGGCGGCGGAGGAGGCTCAGGAGGTCGGGTGCAAGGAGGCCCGCATCGCCATGAAGGACCCAGAGACGGAGCTAAAGCTGGAGAACGCGAGTCACGGTGCGGAGCATCTTGCCTATCAGATGAAGCACAGTGCGATCCACGGCAGGTACGATGGCACTGTCGATGTCGACGGGGACTGTCTGGCGATCAAAGGCAAGCAGGTGGCGCTGTCGCACACCCGTGACCCGGCAGAGATCCCCTTCAAGAAGTACGGTTCGGACTACGTCTGTGAGTTCATCAGCATGTTCCTGACCGACGGGAAGATTCAGCTGCACCTCAAGGTGGGCGCGAAGGATGTCAGGTCCTCGGCCCGGGCCGCGGACAACAGCCAGACCATGGAGATGGGCGCGAACAAATACACCTACAAGACAGACAGGAATTGCGTTTCTTGCGTTACGTGCACCACCGATGCCCTTGCTCCCAAGGTCAAGGCTGTCGTCATCGAC